ATGTCCCACAATGCTTCTCATTGTGTGTAGATGCGCAATGAAGAGACTTGCTATTATTTTCCCTAGACTTCTGCTTTCATTATTTATTCATTATTTTATATTTATTATGTATTTTTATATAATCTTAAAGTTACCACCGGCCCTTTGAATGCAACCAAGTCGATTTTTCCCCACCTAAACCATTCTACGTTTTTGAAATGCCTCTGTAGCGTGTGCTTGTTTGCATGTTTTTTGACCATGGCATGTTATATGAGCCATGATTAAATGAAAAAAATGTGCTGCATTTTGCTCACTCTCTGTTTCTCTCCCTTCATCTCACTCAGCTGTTTGGAGACGTGTGCTACCACTGCAATCGTGTTATTGAAGGAGATGGTGAGAACATTTAAAATATATAATGTTTAAGTGGGTAGACTGCTCGTGAGATTAGGGTTTATCAGAGCACTTTTGACCTTCTCTCATTTTTTAAACGTATTTTGATCTCTATATCGAGTGCAGATTGCTTGTCTTGTAGATTTCTCTTGAAAATGTTTTGAATTCCAGACTGAATCCATTTAACTTTTAGTCACATGATTTTAATCTCGAGCAGTGTCTCATGTGAGTGTTTCTTCTATTTTTATCAGTGGTGTCTGCTCTCAACAAGGCTTGGTGTGTCAACTGTTTTGCCTGCTCTACCTGCAACACCAAGCTCACCCTCAAGTAAGTAATACACACGTCTAAGATACACCATCACAGTATGTTTGGTACAGATTTAGTATTAGTTTAAGTCTCTGAAGACTCACATGGCCAAGTCCACTCTTCTCTTGTACATTTTCTCTTTCTCAACTTTCCTGCATCTGTGACTATTTGCTGCAGTCTTAATCCCTTGTCTGGGGGACTGTTTGCTCCACATCTCCCCCTTCATCATCTCTCTTCTGTGTCCCCTTGTGTGTATCTCCTGCTTTACCTTTCCTTCCTTTACCTGCTCAAACTTTCTTCTCTCCTTTCCTTCTCGTCCTTCTTCTTTACTCCATTATTGCCTCTTCCTTCCCTCCTCTTTCTCCTTCACAACCCTTCCCATCTCTCCCCCCTCCCTGCTCCGCCAGGGATAAGTTTGTGGAGGTGGATCTGAAGCCGGTGTGTAAGCACTGCTACGAACGCCTGCCGGACGACATGAAACGCCGGCTGGCCAAGCGTGAACGCGACGTGAAAGACAAGAAGAAGAAATCACTGATACCCATGTGTTTGTGATCCGCTCTTTTTCCTTTCTCCTCACTTCCACTGTTCTTCCTTTGGTCAGTTTCCATCTTTATTTTCTGTTTCTGTTCTTTTGTTGTGACTTTTTCATCATTTTTCAAGCATGCTCCATGACAACATTTTATTACTCATATCCCTCTAATACGTAGTCTAGGTCAAATCATGAAAGCAAACATTTAATAGGTGAATAAGAACAGGTTGTTTGAGTGGACACAAATGAGTTGATACCTATTAGCCTGAAACAGTGTTTAGGATTAGGGCTTGTTACTGCTGCTATGCAAACAGATCAGTCACATGGTGAGGGAATTGCGTTGTTTCTTGGGACTCCCGGTCTGTCTGGGCGTAGAGATTAAAGCTGTAATCACTTCCGGCAGCTTTCTGGCCACAGCTGTGGAAGTGCTGAGGTCTCTCCAGGTTTAACACGTGCCCTATCCTGCCAGAGATTAACTGCTTGGAGCAAATGTTGTCCGGGACAGCTGGGGTGAGAGCCTGCCAGAGTTAATGGAATAAAAGGACTAAACATGATTGTTTTCATTCAAGCAATTGAAGCAGTTATTCAAAAAATATTCCATGTGCTACAATGTCTAGAAATCGATTTAAATGTGTGTCTTTATATCTGTATCCAGGTTTACACAAACATTCATTTTTAACATTTTCCCAAGTTTTACTTGAAATTAGCTTCAAAATGGTGGCTGTAAAAGATGTACACAATAGGGGAAATTCAATTCAGAATGTTTTCACTGGGTTTATCAACAATTTGAATCTACAAAAAGCTATTTGTCAGGAACTATACAAAAAACATTCTATTCATTGCGTCCATCAAACTCCTATGTTTACTTTCATAACATAGTGAAGTGACTATGTAACACTTGCGCTTCTATTGGCTAGCGCGCCAACACATTGTTCGTGATAGGCTAAGGGCATCTTTAACCAGTTGACCAATCACAACAGAGCAGGACAGCTAACCAATCAGAGCACACTGGGTACTGGTTTCATCCAAACTGTAACAGCGTCTGTCCCTCTCTCTTCCACAGGAACAAGTTTGTGGAGTTCGACATGAAGCCCGTGTGTAAGAAGTGCTACGAGAAGTTCCCTCTGGAGCTGAAGAAGAGACTGAAGAAGCTCTCTGAAACTGTTGCTCGGAAGTAAACACACAGCAGAGCAGCTATAGGAAGGGACAAATAGATTAGAGATGCAATTCCGAATTGACAATCGTATGTTAGATTTTGGTCGGTTATTTCAGCAGAACGCACCGCTTCTTGTCCTTTCAATCGCAGAGGATAATTTAAATAGCCTGAAACTGACAGATGGCCAACAGGCAGATTGTTGGTCAGTCAGCCAGGTTATACTTTAACCTCTTTAGTGCCTTTAAACATAAATACTGCACTGTATATCTTTCACATGCTTGCCTTATTTCACTATATGTATTAATCCTGGTCCTGTATTTCAAAATGGAATGTGAGCTTTAAGAAAGCATAGAAACATGAGAGTAATAAAAAAAAGGCTGTTAAACTGTTTGCCACCTTGCTTCATAATGAAAATTACTTTTGACTTATTTTACTGATACTCTCGTATAAAAGAGTTAACCCAAAGACAGTTGCGCAAAATACAGTTTTATTAAATGTGTATATATAGTGTCTCAATAATGTCCTGTTTTCTACCAACATGTATTATTTTATGGATTATTAATGTGTATTTTCTTTAATATTATGCTAAATGAGATTTTGAATTTTCGACATCATACTATCCTGATGAACTGGCTTGCTGCAGTGATGAACTCAGCCAGCAGTTCTTATGTGCAATGCATTAAATGTGTAAAACAATCTCTATTCACTGAGTTGCTAGTTTTCACCCCTACAATCTAATATAAAATAATGCAGCAGTAACAAATATATAACCCAAGTGTAAACAGTTGAGTTTTTTTTCATCAGCTTTAAAGTTACAGTAGAGATAATGAAGCAACACCTCTGAAATACTGTCAACAAATACTGAACATAATGAGATTCACAGTAACAGGACTTATTGCATGGCAACTGGTAACTGTGTGTCTGGCAGCATGTTCAGAAACCGGATGTAGGAGTATTGATAGATGTTGGAGAACATGTGCCTCTGCTGTTTGTAATCCAGAGAAAGTGATCCTCTTAGAGAGGTGTAGCGACTTCCTCAGGGCTCAGACCCTCTTAGGAGAGAAAGCCAACTGTACCTAATGGAAAAGTAGTTTCACTAATCATCATAATTTCATCATAGAACGTTTATATTTGACATAATAGTTTAATAATAACACACATTCCACTATTTAATGGAAATACAAAGCCTTTGTTGATAATACTTTCACTATCTGTGTCACAAAATGTTTTAATGTCATGTAGAATTACAAGTACCCTCTTAACGTCAGTTCCCATATCTTGCAGGGCAACTGAGATGACTACACAGACAAACAAAACAATGCTTTTATTCTGTATTTTATCATTACAATGCTTGTCAAGGAACAATATTTATTCATGTAATCACACCAAAGTGCATGTCCTAGACTATTTTTCATTATATCTAAGGTCATTTTGTCAATTCATCTGAATAAACATGTATGTCAATGCTACCTGTGTGTATGTTTTTGATTTGCATTGTCCTACCTTTCTACGAGTGTAACATGGCATTACAATTTGTTGTTATATATGGTTTCCACATGATATATTGAAGCATATAATAATAATAATAATAATCAGATGTTTTATGCTAAGATACCATTGCTCGGATAAGAATATAGGATAAAAAAAGACATTGAGTGACTGTTGTGGTACTTTCCCCCCCCATTTTAGCTGCATAAAGCACAGACAACACTAAAATAACACTATCGTATGGTACTTGATTAATCCACTCTCTACTTTAACTCACACTGATGAAGGCAATATGCATGGTTTGAAAAATAACATGCAACCATTAATGGATGTCTATATTCCCCATATCAAAAAAGAAACATAAATGGTTTGCAAAATATAATGTGCATTTCTATTGGTGTTTGATTGTTGTTATTTATAATAATTTCATAAAGTGTTTCTTGCAGAATATTTCAAATACACTTTAATGCCGAGGTCCAGAAGGTTCCCCCAGCCAGCCCACCACATCTCCTTCAAAATAAAGTGCGTCATCGTGCGTCACTGAATTCTCGGTTTTCATTGGTTAGTGGAGCGATTCAAGGGAACTCACGGCCCACGTGACCCGCTTGCAATTTGATGGTAATGAGACTGCGCAATGTCGCTATGGGGAGTTAACGTTACGGAGTAACCGATATTAATGTAATTTTTTATATTTTGTGAATTCACGGTAATACATGCCCATTAGTCAGCCATTTTGGAAGAATTCTCTGTTTGGAAGTCATGCGGCGGAGTAAGTTTGAGGTGGACCGGTACGTCTCCACAGTACAGAGTTCCTCTCCCTCACTCAAAGAGGTAAGTTGAGCCGCCGGAGCTAATGTTAGCATGTTGCTGCCATCATGTCAGCCAGCATGTGTCAGCCAGCCGGTGTGAGGAACTAACCAGAGTCGAATTAACAGTACTTGTTGTTTTGATTTAGTTGCTGTTAAACCCGTTAGGTTGTATTATGTGTTCCGTGTAACCGCTGGTCCCCGGCTAGCAGTGCCAGCTAACCGGCAGTTAACGGCTCGTCGTGTCCTCCCCTTTGCACTGAATCGCGCGGCAGCAGCGCTAGCTAAGGTAGCCATGCTACTTAACTCAGCCGTCACTCCCATATACTTTGGCTACTTGTACAACAACATGGCTTCAACCGCCTTGTTAACAATAATATATGTCGGTTGATAGGTGCTTCATGTCAAACCTTTATTCAGAAATCGTCTGCCTTTTAACAGACTATAATATCTGTGAAGAGAAGTTACTGTACTGGTACACCACCAACTTTACGTTTAGTTGCAATCAACATTATCGGAATCCTTTACGGTGGTGAAATTGACAGCACTAAGCCCACTTAGTTATCTAGTTTGAGCTATTTGACATTGTAGGAATAAGGGCACTGAATCACACTAAACTGTACGAATGATATATAATACAGAGCAGAATTTGTATTACTTATATTGGGGTGTTTGTTGTGAAGAACCCATAGATGTGACCAACAGAATACATACCTATATTGTCCTAAACACACGCTCTATTTGGCAAGGAAGGTAAAATAAGAGGTGAAGACAATCCTATAACCCTAAGTTAACAATATGTTTGTATGAGGAGTCATTTGTTTTACCATGTCATCATCCCTGTGCCTGCTTGCTAACATAACAAGCAAGATAATTATGATTATCATTACTCACAACATTGCTGAATGGTTCACTGAAATGAAACTTCAATGTTTATTTTTCCACAGAAGCCCATCAAAGGGTTTTTGTTCGCCAAGTTGTACTTTGAAGCAAAGGAATATGAACTTGCAAAAAGGTAAGCACACAAGCTTCCCCATGGTTTTCTCTTGTGTTATAGCTTCTTAAGAAGTCTGTTTTTATATTATATCTTGCATATTCTTTGCTCTTTTTAGACACGTATCAGAGTACCTCAAAGTCCAGGAGAGAGACCCGAAAGCCCACAAATTCCTTGGACAGCTCTATGAGAGAGAGGGAGACATCAACAAAGCCGTAGGATGTTACAAGGTAGGAAGAAGATGTCACTGAAAAAACAAAACTTTATGCCTAAAGAAAAAGATGATCAAAGTCTGCTATACACCTATTCATCATGAACTGTATTGTACAATTCAAGTACCATCTTTTTTAGTTGTTGTTACATCAGGATTGAGACATTTTACAGTTTAAGTTACAAGATAAGTTTATTTTACATTATTTTTGTTTTTGCTCCACGACACATTCGATTTAGAATAAAACAAAGTACCAGTGATAAGCTTTAGAATAATTAATAGTAAAATAAATTGTCACGAAATATTAAATTGGTTCATAATGTCACATCAATTTAGGTGGGATTCATTAAAAAATAAGAGTAAATGCATTTAACCAGCAACAGTTAACACGGTTCCTGGTTAACTACGATCATTCTCGCCAGGATTTTAGGTAAGGTAATTGGCATTTAATTCCCCTTCCTATTACACATACATACAAATGATTGAATGTCAAGGCAGCCAACCCTAAGGCGTGGATGGAAATCTGTGTCTTGCATTATTACAGATCCTTTGGCGGCCAGGATGTGACTTCTTTATTTCTAGTCATTCAGTTTCCTTTTATTTTTAATGTCAGACTCCCAATTAGGTGTGTCAGCATAAATGTGTACCTGTCTATCAGGTTAGCCTAAACACTTCTCACTTATGCTTGTCACGTCCCATTGAAAAGAGCTAAATAAATGCATTAACAGCTATGCACTAAAAACAATATCAGTTAATTAGTTAATACAGACTAATGTACACTCGCATAATTAGTTCTTGCTGTTATGACTTTGACTTTCAGTATACGGGCTAAAACATAATAAAGGCATACATACCTATGGTCATTGACATCCATCTAGCTCTAGTCTAAATAAATGTGGCCCCGGACTCTGTTGTACATAGAAAATAATCAGACATGTATTTATCACAGTGTGAGGAGGAGGTGTCAAGTTTCTGTTATCACAAAGTAAAAAGGCAACATCTGGCAGAGCATGCGATGGACATGAGAGGATTCCTTAAATAAACTGATCTCCACTACTGATAAATTGACATTGAATTCATTAGACATTCAATTTAAATAATTGTTTCCCACTTATTTCTAATGTTATAGATGTTGTTTTTGGAAGGGCATTGCCGTTTAATATAACCTGACTGAATGCTTTTGTATAAACTGACACTAGTATGTCTGCACTTCTATGTGTGCTTGCAGCGGTCTGTGGACTTAAATCCAGGCCAGAGGGACCTGGTGCTGAAGGTGGCCGAGTTGCTGGTCAGTAAGCAGGAATGTGACAGCAGAGCAGAGTTTTGGGTGGAGAAAGCCGCCAAGCTCCTGCCAGGAAACCCTGCAGTCTTCAACCTGAAGGTGAATCTCCATTCTTCTGAGTCTCCAGTTATCCCTCCTTTAATCACTGCATCAGTAAACTGCCATCTGAGGCCACTCTTTTAACTTGTTTTGAACTCAAAGCACTCACTCTAACCCCTCCCACTTTATTTAAATTATATTTTCTGTTCCTGAACAGGATTTACCTTTTATCAGCATATATTTGCATATTATTTAAAGTAAGAGAGGCTGCCACACTGACTGTCTTTGGTCTATCTATGCCGCTCTGTACAGGAGCGTTTGTTGAGTCGCCAGGGCCAGCCGGGATGGAACCGGTTGTTCGACCTCCTTCAGGCAGAGCTGGCAGTGCGGCCAGCTGACGCTCACGTTAACGTGAAGCTGGTGCAGCTGTTCTGTCAGGACGGACGGCTGGATGAAGCCGTTAAGCATTGCCTGGCTGCTGAGAAAAAGGGCATGCTGAGCAACAGCCTGGACTGGTACACAGTGGTGGTGCGCACACTGCAGGTCAGCAAAAAATGGCAGTAGTAGAAGTTTACATTTTAAAAGCTTCTATGGTGTTCTGTATTTCATATTTTTAAGTCTAACTTCCTAATAACACAAAAAACTAATGTACGGCCTTTTTGCAGGAGTATCTAGCTCAGCCCAGCGTCACTAGCAATGACAAGATGTGTCGGCTGCTGCAGAGAGAGCTGCTGTTGGCCCACTGCGGCCTGCTGAGAATCACACTGTCTCAGAGCAGCATGCAGCCCAGCCTCGATGCTCTCACAGGGTAGGTCAATTCCGCCCAACACACTTTCTTTATGCTGTATTTATACATCCTAACTTCTTGATAACAATCGTGTTTAAAGTCAAAATCTCTACACTTACAAAAGACGAATAGAAAAATCAGGCATTTTGGATGTTAAATGAACTTTAACAGCATTAACACGTTAATACGTTTGACTTGGTGGTTGTCTTGTGTCTTCTAGAGTGTGTATTAAAAGACAAGTAAATTAGTTTAAGTCCAAAGGCAGGTTTTGGTTTTTGAGCCTTTGAGTTCAAATAAGGTGTCTTTCACAAAAACCATACCATTTTAATTACTATACCATGGTGGTTTACGTGACCACGTCACCTTTATTTGTTTCAGTGTATACACTAAAGCCACTACATGGCTGCAAGAACGGCTGTATGTTAAAGTGTGTTTGTGTGTGTTTAGTTTTGACCAGGTTATGCAGACGCTGAGCAGCATCGCTGGCCAGCAAGCAGACGATCTTTGCGAGGTGTTTGTGGAGATGCGAGGTCACCTCTACCTGCATGCTGGCACCCTGCTGCTGAAGCTGGCTCAGGATCACCAACAGACCTGGAGGGCCATCATTGACCTGGTTGCACTCTGCTACCTGCTGGCACACCAGGTACGGACACAAAAAGGGCTAGCCTTATACCACAGTCATTAACAAATGTTATATTTTTGTTCAGGCTGATTCCTTTTAAGATGTCCAAAACAAATTACCGTAATTTTCGGACTATAAGCCGCGACTTTTCCCCCATTTTTCGACGCTGCGGCTTATATAACGGTGCGGCTAATCTATGGATTTTTACCGCTAACGGCCACTAGGGGACCTCCTAAATCTATGGATTTATACAGCTAACGGCCACTAGGGGACCTCCTAAATCTATGGATTTTACAGGTTACAGTCCACCACCTTTAACTCTATGGGCTCTATGGCCGGTCCGCGGACCCCGACCTTTAAGCGGCGGGTTCCAGCAGGAAAAGCTGGAGGCCGGAAAAGAGTGAGACAGGTAGCGCGCAAAAGTAAAAGTGGAACCGAGAGTGGTATGCCGCTGCTGCGGCTTATATTCAGGTACGCCTTATAGTCCGAAAATTACGGTATAAGAAATCCTACACATGCTGTTTTTTTTTTTTACTTTATAGAAATGTAATCGTCTGTTTTAAAGATGATAATGTTGTATGTTTCCTTAGCTTTTTACTTTAAAAAAAAAAAAAGCAACAGCTTCAAACAATGTTCAAGTGTTGATAAAGTGGGAAATTGTTCCCTATTTATATTAAGGGGGAAAAAAAGCCTAATATGGATCTTAAAAGCTAAACGCTCTAATTCCCTTTTTTTTAGATGAATTTGAGTGATTTTATTTCTGCAGCCAAGACAAGAAACATTTGAATACAGTTGTTGTTTTTTGTCCTTCCACCAGGTCCCCAGACCAAAGCCTAAAGTCTCCAAAGGAGAGCAGTCGGCCCCTAAGCTCCTGGAGCTGCTGTCCAACGACCGACAGAGTCAGGCCGGACACATGTTGCTCAATCTGAGCACAGATTCATCCACTTTGATCAGAGAGGTCTGTTTGTGTGTGCGGATACACTTTAGCTAAATGTTGTAGCCTGTGTATGCTTGAATGAAAAGTACATGACCAAGTCTGCATGTGCAAACTTGTGAAACTAAGATACGGTGCATGCTTCCCTGTAACAACTATGTAAGGTCCTGCATCAGACATATCACTGATACGCTGAACGTGTATGTTTATGAATGAATTGTACCTGATTTGATTATTTGTCTGCATAGGTAGTGGAGGCGTTTGGGAATCGTAAAGGTCTGGACTCTCTGTTTGAACTCCTGTTTGGATCACAGGCCTCCACCTCATCTTCCTTTATCGCCAACGATGACATTCGTTCCATCAACACCATGGCTCCAGAGCTCTCTCAACTCGCCAAATGTGATGCTGGTACGAAACTATCGTTATTATAATTAATATTCGCCTGAGCACTAAAGTAGCCACATGATCTCTTCAGGGGTTTTTAAGGTCCACATTTATTGTTAAATCTTGCAGATATTTTAGCATTTAGATGTTTTCATCGAGTCCGTATGTATCAAAAGTTGTATCATTTGCAAATAAATGTGTAATTACAAGGACTGCACGATTTACTAAAATGTACTAATTGCGATGATTTTTACAATTATTGAAATTTCAATATCATTTACAGTCAGTGATGCAAACTTGTCACCTTTCGGCGAAATTCGCTGTTTTGAATCCAAAATAGGTCGTTTGTGTGATTCATGTAGATCTGCAATAAAAATATTTTTGGGGTATGGGATCTGGGACCCGGAGTAATCTGCGGCCGTGAGCTGTCATGTGCCATCATGACACGCATGGTGTTCTTTTTTTATATATTATAATGAAGTACGAGCTGTGTGCTCGAGTCTTCCTGCCTGTCGGCTCTGCTCATGGATGTATAATAAAGCTCTGCTGCTCCGAGATGATGGTCTAGCTTCAGCAGCTACATTACCTACGGGTGCGTTCGTTAATATTAACTGTGCGGTCCAGAGTCACTGTGGCACAGACTGGACCGCTGGTGAACAGCTGTTAGAACGGGCCGTTCAGGTGTTCTGAGCAGAGCTCCCTGTCGGAGCGGCAGAGCGTGATGTGAACTGAAAAGTTTTTCTGTGGCAATATTATTTAAGGAATCGTTGAGCTAGCTAGCTAGCATATATTGTCAGTATCTGCTAACGTTAGCTTTAGCCTTCTATTTCTAATAGTTTTTTTCATAGGCTATAAACAGAGGTGGTATAAGTAGTATATATATATATTATATATATATATATTGTACTTGAGTAAAAGTAGAAGCACTCAGATCTTGTTCTTGATTAAAAGTAGAAGTACTCAGATCTTGTATTTGAGTAAAAGTAATAGTACCAGAGTCTAGGAATACTCTGTTACAGTAAAAGTCCTGCATTCAAAATGTTCCTAAAGTAGAAAAGTATTATCATCAAAATATAGTGAAAGTAGCGACAGTAAAAGTAGTCATTGTGCAGATTGGTCCATTTCAGAATAATATATATGATATGTTTTATAATGATTGATCATGAAAGTGTTCTCAAAGCTGGTAAAGGTGCAGCTAGTTTGAATGACTTTGTATACTGCAGGGTAGCTTGTGGATTTACTCCAGGTGGAACTAAAGTCTGAAGACACGTTCCGAAATCAGAAGATAGAAATATCGGTGTACCACATTTCATTTGGATATCAAGTATTGAGTTTGTTCATGTATGAACCACGTGTTAAAACTCTATAGAACATGAATAAATATAAAAGTTACAGAAACGATGACAACAAGAAGATGAGTGATGTCAAGTCTCCTGTCACCACCATGAAATGAGGAGATGTACATAAATTATGGAAATCAATAGGAAATGTCTACACCACTTTACTACACTTATATATTAG